AGAAGGTAAAAAATAATAAAGTCTGGGACCAACTTCAGCATTCTACACTATTATTAGTAAGAGCCATAGAGGACCTAGCCTTTGATATATCTCTTATGGAACTAACCTTTGCGCTTAATATACTTATTCTCTTTGTGTCATACCTTAAAGAAAATGAGTTATTGTGGAAAGTATATACAGTATTTGCCTTTGTACTAACAGCAGTAGAATCATAGCCATAAAGAGTGCAAGGAAAATATCATAGTATGAAATATGTTGGTACTGTGAGTATAGTATAGGAACTTCATGTAAATTTTAATGTATAATGTAAAAGCTATGATATATAATTAAAACTGAGAAAATGCATGAAATCATGATTAAGCAGAAACCAAAAGATGACAATTTTAAGTTGTGATCGCTCATTCGTTCATTTCTCTATGGCTCATTCGGGTGTTCATCGCGTGCCGGATTTCAACAACAGTGCCAACCGTCCCCAAGGAGTTTTAGCAGAAACAGTGATGTGCGTTTGCTCAGTTTATGATACTACTCCCGTCACAAAAGGAATGGAATCCCCTTTCCCCCTCCATATTGAACTGCAGTTTTGTTTTAAAGTTTTTATTCCCATTTTTATTAGGATTTATTTAACCGGGTTAAACCTTGCATTCTGTCAGTAAACCCTCAAGAATTCAGATTATGCAATATCTAATAAAATTCTATGCTTATCTTCTCTGTCTTCAAGTGCTTGCAAAAGTTTTGATATTTCATACATTTTCTCTTTTTTTCATCTCATCCAAATATATTTCTCATTCATGTGCTTGGTAAGGCTGTTAGGAAATCCAATGTACACAAAATAGATTTATTGTAAGATTTTGAAATCCTCCTTGATTCATCTTGAGGTCTGAAAAGGTGAATTTCAAACAGTAGTTTTTTCTTTCTATAAAACTGTTTGGTTTATAGTTCGTCTTTCTACCTTTGTATAATTATGATAGTGTTCTGTCATGTCATTGATAAGCTTCTTTCATGTGTTCTGATGAGTGTTAACTTACACTACAGAAGATTTGCATAGTAATTGCTACTTTCCTCCTTTCTTTCTCTCTTTCTTACCTTTTTTTATAGATGTATTAGTTATGAAAATCAGTTGAGTAAAAGCTTTTTTAGTCTTTGAACGATTTTAGCATCAATCTAAGAACATTTTAGATCTTCTTGAACCTTTTGACTGGTCTCACCCCTTTCCTGACCACAGTTATGATTTATACTTTATAACCTTTCTCAAATGTTGTATCTGCTAGCTTTTAAAACCTCATACTCACTTACTAAAATCATGAGTTGGAAGACTGGCTTGAGTTTGCAGAAAATTCTTTGCACTGCCTTCAGGAACTATAAGGGACCAGTGCATAATTCAGGGACAGTAAATAGTTGTTTGTTTGTTTCTTGTTTCTCTATCAAAAGCCCCTTGCAAGACCTAGCACATCTGGCAGCCAGTGTGGCCTTCCTTTCCAGCAACGTTTAGATCACTGTAGCATGGAAGAAAGAGAAAAAGGAGTCGCGAGGTGAATCTATGTGAATCCTATAAGGCTAATAGTATTGTAATAGAAGCATAAACTGCACACTACTTAACCATTCATATAAAGCTTTAACTGAAAGCCACTGGGGATGGCATGTATGTACATGCCATTCAAAATATGAGTTTAATTTATTAATTGTTTTTACACATAGATGGCTTCACTAATTCACCAATGAGCCATTGGAAACTATTTAATGATATCTAATATTGCTGTTAGTAGTCAATAACACTATAATAATTATAATGTTTATGATAAAAATAACAATATCAGTATTGATAGCAGCAAACAAACTCAAGGAAAGGTGAAATCAGGTGAGGTCATAAGGTTAACTAATTGACTTCTGCACTTGTAAAAACCATCTATGTGCAGAGACATTTCACAAATAATATTTCCGTGAATACATTTTCCTGGAGGCTTTGGGTTAAAGATTTCTAATCCTTACCAGATGGATTGAGAGATATGATCATGTCATCTAATAGATCGCTTAACTGATAATAAACCTTTTAAACAAACATCCATATAATTTACAATTCAGCTACTCATGCCATTGTCACATTTTCATGAGGGATAAAAGATGAAGAAAGAGTGTAAAATTCTGCATATCATGAGGATAAGTGGATTAGAAAGACACCCTCATAATTTGCATTGACTGATGTCCTAACTGTTTAATGATATCACTGATGTCATAATTAAAAATGCGTGATATGGTGATAAGAAATTGGATTGTTTTCCCTGTTGCAGAGGTCCGAAAATATAAAGATTAAGATGCTGATCTCAGTAGTCTCTGTTACTATTTATTTCATAAATACACCTTCAGGATTAATTACTTTGACATTGTTGAGTTTCTGTTAATATTAGGTAACTGTTAATACAAAACAAAACAAAAAAAAATGAAACCCAATGACTGATTAGCAGAGGTTCATAAGATATATCATAAATGTATTATAATATATAAATTATATAGATTTAGTCCTTTTTTATCATTCATGAGTAGTTTCCATTAAACCCAGTGTCAACTAATTGGAGTGTTTACTATAACTTAAAGTTCTTTGCATGGATTTGTGTTTACTAATAGATGTTAACAGAGGTAGGTATTGCATTATTTTGTGTAAAACCAAAACTGGAAATAAATTAAAGGGGTTTGTGTCATGGTGCATAAGAGTATAGATTTGTAGTTTATTGTTTATTTGCTATTTAGTCATTCAAGAAACCTCACGCTTATAATCACACTCACACTCCCACTCCCCCTTTCTTATGGTCAATTGGTCACACACAGACATAATCACACACTCACTCTCATAAGTACTCCTATCCACTTACAACATACAGAATCCTCCCTATATGTACAGTGCATTTAAAATTTGTTTATGTTTTGTTTTCTTCCTCCCTGCAGCAATCTCCGCAGCTGTCTTCCTGGGTATCCTTCTCCTTCTCCTGGTCATCTTTAATATCTGCCAGTGGAAACAATCAAAGCATTACAACTACCAGATCGTCCCAAACAACTTCACGTAGAACCGGGTTCCTCGGAGAGTGCAAACCTGATGCTTGCTCACACAGGAGGGAAGGAAAGGCTTTGTGAAGTAGAATTCAGAGCTGAATGCGATTTTGAGGAAAGGATTATATCAAAATTTCAGTTTGTGGACTTTGACTCTTGTGATAAAAAGAAGGATAAAATAGTCCACAGTGTGAGGCGTTTTGCGTCAGTTAAGTGGGTACGACATGTTTTCACATCCTGGAACGAAAAGATTGTAAATGTTACTGGAACATTTCATTTATCTCTAAGTCATTTTTTAGAAGTGTCGTGAGATTATATATTTCTATATACATAATGCAGTGAATGAGATTTTATTGTAAGTTAAACCTTTGTGCCTCTTTTATTTAGTCTGCCAAATGTAGCTGCAAGTATTTTTATAATGTTTCCTTTTTTTCATAATTGTATAGTTATATCAGTGGTATTATTGAAATAAAGTATGGATGGTGATAGAAATTCAACTTCCGAAATTCCAGGTTAGTTTATATAACTGTTATGTACATTATTGATGATTAATTTTCTCCTTTTAGCCATTCAGTGAAAGAACAAAGTCCATTTAGAGTGCCATTGGAACTTACTCATATTGTTTTAGTATAATTGATAAATGCTAGTAAGTTAAATTTTCCATTACTGTCATACAGTGAAGGGGTTCCATGTAGGTTTTTCCACATTATTACAGGAAATGCTGAAGTCTTTCAGAACTTCATTATGCAGTGTTGTTTCTAGTGATCAAAACCAGTGCCAGTGATTATTGCTAGTGTTCCAGAAGGGGAAGGGGTATTTGCAGTTGGTATTCTCACTTGCTTACTCTCTTTCTCTTGCCGTCACACACACTCTCCTCTGTCTCTCTCTCTTTGTCTCTCTCTCTTTGTCTCTCTCTCTTTGTCTCTCTCTCTTTGTCTCTCTCTCTCTCTCTCTCTCTCTCTCTCTCTCTCTCTCTCTCTCTCTCTCTCTCTCTCTCTCTCTCTCTCTCTCTCTCTCTCTCTCTCTCTCTCACCCTCTCCCTACCTGCCCCTTCCCACAAATCCTTCAATTGTTGATTCTGTATTATCAAGATAAATGACCCTTGAGTTCTGAATTATAATCAAGATGAATGTTGGAATCTGAGAAGAGATGCAATAGTTCTGTTCAATTTCCCAGCTGTTGGCATACTGCCAATTGTTGCAAATGTTTCTCAAGTTTGATATGTGTACAATATAGGATTTGTGTGTGTGTGTGTGTGTGTGTATGCACATGCATTTATATGAAATTGGACAAAAGTTAATATTATGCCAGGCTTTAATCCTTTCCAACTGTCCTCTAATATATAAAAAAGAGGTCTTTATATTCTCCTAAAGTCCAACAGGTATTATTCACAAGTCATATTTCCTTGGACTGCAAAGAGTGTCTTAACCAATAACATGTAGATATATGTTGGATTCATGTTAAAATTGCGAGAATAACGTTAGGGATATATATCAAATGGTTGTGAACAATATAAGTGTGATTTAATCAAACAGCTGTGTTTAAGAATTTTTTAGTTTTTTGTACTATAATGAAATGAAAACGAAAATGGTTTATGCTTTGATTATCATTATTTTCTATGAAAAGTGAATTTGGCATCAAAAAAGAAATCTCATTTTTTATTTATATGCACTGAAGGTACTAATATTTGTTTACCATTATGTGTTGATGGTATTCGTGATCAGTGAGTGTTCATGTTATAGTAAGGTTAATAATGCAACAATAATGACAGATTGCAAAGCATTACAGCATAATTTCTGGGAGAGTGCCATAGACAATCATGAAGACTAGTGATGTGCACGTGTCTGTCTCATGATACCTTTTCAATTTTTATGCATTATCTTTCTTTTTTTTTCTTTTTTCTTTCCCTTCTCTCTCCCTCTCCTTCCTTTTTTCTCTCCTTTTATCATTAGTTACTGTTG